ATATATATATATATATATATATATATATATATATATCTCGTGGGCTCAGTTGCTTTTCGCACAGTGAGTTTCCTGGGTGCAGAGGAAGAGAGATGGGTAATAAATAGTAGGTCACATTTGTGTCAGGCACTATTTAATCGGGACGAGAGAAGGAGCAACACAGAGAGGGTTTGGTATCAATTTTGCTTCGTTCCCTGCGGTTTGTAGTTCTGAAGATGTACTTTGAAGTAAGAATAAGTTATTTAAACTCTGTAAGTCGTTATTGCAGGCGGATGGCATAGATAGATTAGATAGATAGATAGATAGATAGATAGTGTTCTCCCCTTGATACATATTTTCTAGACGAGGGTTGGAAGAGGTCTACTTCGCCAAAACCTAGTTTAGTGTCTAAAATGCTTTAATTACAATGTGGTAGGAAAAGTAGGATGTGGACTTGAAGTCTAAACTTAATTATATCATTCAGACCGTGTCTGTTTCTTTATGGTCTTTGAGGCCTGCAGAGGGAATTATCTATCTATCTATGCAAAAGGACTGCCAAAAATATTAAGGAAATTATATAGGGATTCATACACGGCTATGGATTTGTCTCACGTATCGATCCCGCGCAATAGATTACATATACAGTCTCTTGTTATGTTTGCTATCTGAGCTTACTTGACATTTCTGAAGTAATTTAGTTAAGAGGAAATGAGTTGTTCCCAGTAGAGAGAGCAAACGAGTGGAGTGAAGGTAGCCAGCGTGATAAATGGCTCTTTCATTTGGAGATCTCCAGAGCTCGTTTAAGGCTAATTTTCTGTATTAGCCCCCTTTGAGCTATTAATGCAATAGGCAGGGACCGTGGCCCCTCGTCTCTTAGCTGCCCCATTAGAGCGAGCATTAAGCTACCAAGCCTGAACTCTACTGTGGTGGTGGTGGTGGCGGTGGAATAATGAAAGGTGCTTTTTAAACTCTCCTAATCTAAACTGGCAGAGGGTGGTTAATACGATTTGAAGGGGGCTGGTCAATGAACAATCAATAAACTAATAATGAGAAGGATGCGGTACATTAAGAGTCTAAAAATCCAACGAGACATTAAAAAATCATCGTTAACTCCTACTTCCATTAAGATTTGGGTGGTGGAAGTGGGAGGGAGGGAGCCAGATAAATCATCAAGATGATAATAATCACCAAGAGCATTATTTTCAGATTTAACTCGGCTTTAAGTGCTTACCGACTGCACATTTCGAGGCCTTTCCCCTCGATTTCTGCTGAAGCGAAGGGAGGGGTTCCCATGTGTCAGGAATACAAGATCGGGTCCCCTTGTCAACTGCTCATCTGAAATTTGCTTGGCACCGTCTGTGGTGAAAGAAGTTGTCCTCTTGCAAAATCTTGTGTGACCCGAGTCCCAAGTTAATTTTTTTGTGACTCTGGGGCACAGTCAGTGACCTTAAAATTATCCTGATGTATTTATTTACTTTCAGCTGTTTCTGACCACCGTCTGCACACTCACATCTGATTTAGCACGAAAGGCCATTTTCACCCTCACACCTTAAATTCATTGTCTCCTTGCAAACACGCTCTATTGTTCACACTACTTTAAACAAACCTATGAAAGGAGGTGCCTTAACATTTCTTTTAACTCTTAATAATACAACATGAGATCCCTCTCCACCTCTTCTCGAAGTATGCGGGTAAATGATTAACTGAAAACCACTTTGGCCTCAGCTTTTCAGGTGATAGATCTGGGAATCGGAGATGTTGCTTTGCTGCCACTCAGTTTCGTGCTTATTCCTGGATTGCCCGCTGAACCTTATGATCCCCTTTAATTGAATGCGAAACAATTTCGAGGGAATACATTTCACTTTGAAATTTATTCCCGGCTTTCAGGGGAAAGGGGCTGCAGTGGAGGAGAAGGGCGGGGGGAAGAGGAGGAGACGACAGGGACAGGAGGGAAGGGGACATGAATACCCACTTTCTGTGTTTGTTCATTAAAACTAAAGTTAGAACGGAGGGGTGTTTTTTTTAGTGGCAATGGGTAAGATATCCCCGGACTTTCTACGTTTGGCTACCAAGTCAGAGCAAATCATCAGTTACAACAAAGTCCTGTTGTTATAATGGAAAAAGAACTTTTTAGTCATTTCAGGTCCAGTAGGTAGATTTAAAAAATATTTGAAGGCAGATTGATAGCCGATTAGTAAGAAGTTTGTCCATAATGTCTGTTAGTAAGGAATTTAAGACATATTTATTCATATTGATCCACCTTTTGACTATCACATTATTCACCAGGTTTATTGCAACGATATCTATAGCTTAGAGCCTTGTCATCCAGCTATTTTCAGGACATAATTCTACTTATTTCTTTATTTTTAGTCTTGCTGAAATGCCCTTTTATTTCCATTTCCTATCCCGTGTCTGCATTTCTGCTCGTTTTCACGCGTTTGTGGAGAACAACCCAACAGAGAACCACCACCAAAAAACCCACCCCAACCCTAAGACTTAATGTATGCACAGAAAATTGTAAACATGTAAAGAACTGAAAGCTTCACGCTGAGTTTCGCCATGCTCCATTTCCCCACCATTTCCTGCTGTCGTTTTAAAGCGATCTCACTCATCTAGAGATCCCGTTTGCAGGAACAGTATGCTTATAATTACTAACAAATCAAGCGGCTACTGTTGCTCTCCCGGTTTATTGATAAGCTGAAGAGAAATGGAAGGGGGAGAAATGACAAAGAGGCTGGAAGTATCCACAGGAGGAGAAAGAGAGGATGAAAGGAAGAGAGAAAGAAAGAGAAAGAATAGAAAAGGAGAAAGGAGAGGAAAGACAGAGAAAGGAGAGAGGAAGAGAGGGAAAAAAAAAAAAAAAAGAAAGAGAGAAGGCAGATTTTGGAAGGGGGAATTAATATAGTTGTGAGTACGAGCATACACACAGAAAGTAGAGTTTGGCAGTGAAAGAAAATCAAATAGTTTGTGCTGAGGATAACAAGAACTAAACGGGATAAAGTCAGAGCAGAAGTGGTGGGGACGCTGCATACATACGCGTGTGTTATTCTGTATTATTTCAGCGGTTGTGGCAGTCCCTAACCAACAGGGAAAATTAATATCGACTAAAAATATACTCTGCATTACAGTTTATTTACATACACGCAGGGATTTGACACATGCAGCTGCACACACGGACGTGTATCTCTCTTCACCCACTAAAACCTCCACGTTATATATTATCTCTGGTGATGTCTGGGCTATATCTGAAAAGCTATAGCCATGATAAACATATAGATATGATATAGATAGAGATAATCCATTCCATGGCAAACACTTTTTTTTGAGGCAGCATTAGGTAATTTACAGAAGATATAGAGTCTAGATAGAATACATCTCTCAGAAGCTATGAAATTGCAATAGATATGCTTACACCGCCTGGTATGCTTCTAAAATGGGTTTAGAGTTATTAGACTCCAACTGATGGGTATGTTCATACGGTCCTTGTCGGGGAGGCAGTGGTAGGAAGAAAAGCTGAGGAGCTCCCAGCATAGCAGGGAAGGGAGCCAGCCTGCTTCCCAAAAGCAATTTGTAAGGAAAAAAAAAACAAAAAAAAAAAAACCAAAACCCAACCCAACACCAACCCCCTGAGCACGTGAAAATCCATATTTCAAAGGTTAACTAATGTAATGAGTGCTCCAAAAGGCCAAAGCGAGTGGGGGTGAGGCACATTTAAGCATTGCACTGGTCCCTCTCTCTTTAGTGAGTTTGGACTAAGATCAGATGGTCGTGGAATTGCTGCCTCTTGTTTAATTTCTCAGTTCACTGGACAGTGACCTGATAAACTGGTCACTAAATATAGCCACTGTAAAGGTGTACTCGAGCCACTGAGCCCGTGTGCTTGTCCGACGAAAAAAAAATGCCAGTCATGAAAATCTGTCTGGTGGCACTGCTTTAATACAACTCTTTTTTTTTTTTTTTTTTTTTTTTTTTTTTTTAAAAAAAAGTTTTTCTTGATGTTTCACTCGAATGACTTTGCAGAATATCGTGCATTAAATAAGTGATATATCTATGTATAATGGGGAAGAGAGAGACTTTTTTTTTTTTTCCTGTCTTCTAGTACTCCCTCTGATACCCCAAAACAAGTCTTTTCCTATAGAATCAATGGCAGAAAAAAAATTCCTATTAATAGCAACGAAAGCAGGAGCAGGACTCTAACTCTTTTATAACTGTTTCTGTGCCGTTCTCAAGCTATTTGAAACCGCCTTTATGAGCTGTATAAAGTGCCTAACTAAAAAATAATAGAGAAATAGGAATCCATTTCACTTTCCGATTCCCTGAAGTAAAGCCACTCAAAATAATTTGTTTATACTGGATACTACGTACAAGGCATATGAAGCAATATGTATATCTAAAATCGACATGCCTTTTGGTTTTTAGCTGTTATAGAGCTTTTATTGTGGGGGTCTGGTCTGGCAGTAGGAAATGATCTGTAATAAAAACAGTGAAACACGTTTGTGTCTATTCCATACACTGAGGTTATAAAATTGGCAATTGCCCAGTAGTTAGCACTTGGTAATATATTAGGATACCCGATCTTATTGTTTAGCAGCTCCAGACGACTTAAATATCCCCTCAACCCTAATGGTTTGATTCTCCAGATATGTTGCAAATAAACAGGGTTTTTTATGACTTAACTGACATGTATTATAACTACCTAAATAGCTGGCATATGTGCATAATAGAACCCTATTATTTGCCGAATTGGTTTCGCAATTGATCGAGTGGAAATGGGAGACTGTGAAGTAGTATCTGCTCGACAAGGGTGTGTAATCAATTAGTCTTCTCCTCTGAAACATGCCCGCTGGACTGCCAGGACTCTACCGCCAACAAACGCCCCAAATTTCGGAGCAGATTTTTCTATAAGGAAACGCGTGTTGCCGCGATTCCGAGAGGAAGCAGCAGTAGCAGCTGTCAGCTCTTATTAACTCCTGCATAAAACATA